TAATAAGAATGATATATCTTGTTCATCTGAATAAATTATTTAAAAACTATTCTTTAGTTACCTATAACTTTTGATACAGAGAGAGGCCAAGGACATGACGGCTGCGACTTATGAGAGTTTGGTATTTGGCTGAGCAATATTTTAGATGCAAAGCAAATATGATCTTGCTTTTGGTGAAAACATTAAAATCAAATTCAAACGCAAACACATATGGTCTAAGGAGGAAACGTTGTGTCCCTTATATAATTGGGTCCTGGGTTGTCGCCCTGGGCCAGGGTTTGCCCTGCCTTCCACGGAAATGATGGTGAGGAATTGCAATGAACCAAGAACAAAAGCCCGCAACACGAACAAAAGCTAGCGAAGAAGGTATTGTTGGATTGCTAAATAAGGTATTTTGATCAATTTACACAAGGAACGACCAATTTTACTCAACAAACGAACACCTTAAGTTCTTAGGGTAAAATACCACATTCGTTGAGTAATTTACCTAACGAACAAGGCTATTTATCTCACGAACGACTTGTTGTCGTTCGTAATGTAAAATGTATCGTTGGATTGGTAAATAAGGTCTCTTGGTCAATTTACACAAGGAACGACCACTTTTACTCAACAAACGAACACCTTACATTCTCGAAGTAAACTACTGCGTTCGTCGAGTAATTTACCTAACGAATAAGTCAATTTACATCACGAGAGTCGTTCGTAGTGTAAAAGGCATTGTTTGATTAGTAAATAAAGTTTCTTGGTCAATGTATTTATCTCTTTAAGCATCTACACACTAATCTTAGTGTCTCTACACTCAATGACTTGAGACTAGTTATCCTCACAATCATGTAAATATAGTGTATACCAGTCTTTACAGATGATTAATGCCCAATCAATAATCCTATAATTAAGAACGTTTAGGAAATAATGTGGAAATATGAAAGGTCTCTTTATATCCAATCCAATTGATAATCTCATGTTGAATGATGTTTATGGGCATAATCACGTATTTCATCTTTTGTAGCATGGACGAAAGCCTAAAACATTGCTGAACTTGCAGTTGTAGTTATTTTTTGCAGTGTCATGCAAGTGCGTATACTTATGTAATTTGATAGCGCATGTATGCAATTCTCACTTTACAATATGCAATTGAATATACTTGTATGTAATTTCGTAGCATTAATTTATGTACAATTCTAGTTTACAATATGCAATTTCGTATATGGTGTCAAAAAATTGCATAAATTGTATATATGCAATTGAGCATAAACTGAAGTATCATATTGTGAACCTTCATGTAATTGTATACGAGTGAATTCTTGCATAGCCTATGTACAATTGCATATACTATTTCACAAAGGAACTTCAACAAATAAAATGTCAAAGACTTTATAACTCGAGGCCGCTCATCTCTAGAAATGCAACCATAACACCCAGATATACAAGTCAGCACTTCGTGAGGATACTCCAATTTTATCTGCAAACACATATTTTTTTGGGTCAATAGATCAAGTAATTAAGTAGATGGGCACATACAGATTGAGATTAAATTCACTTGAGGGAGAAAAGGATCACAGTGGGGTGTCTGGTGCTTTGATGAAAATTTCTAAAATATTTCACAATTAGGAAAAGCTATGGACTACGGCAATGGGCACATGACACTATTCATGATTGATAAACTAAATTTAAGCTAAAATTAAATATGGCAGACATCATTTTTCAGATTTAAGAGGAAGATTAATCCTCAAAGCCAACATGAAAACTTAAAAAGCGTTTTTCAAATTCAAATGCAAGTTGTCATCAGATACACGAAACAATTTGCACTGATGACAACTTACATGGTATTGGAAAAACTGGTTCAGAATAAGATATAGAATGCAAAAGGAGGGAGGAGAAGGAG